CCAAAAGTATTTGATGTAGACCAAAACACTGATAAATCCTTTAATCATTATTTAAAGGACAATATTGATGTCAGTCATTATTGGGGATCACAGTGGCTAAGTGGGTAAGACGCTGGCTCGCTAGCCTGGAGGTCGGGTGTTCGATATGTGCATTGGCCGAGAAAGTTCATCCAGATTTTCCGGCGTGGTTCGCCCTTATCAGGGACGGAGGGCTTGACAAGAACAGCTTTCTAGTTGTTCGGATGGGACGAAAAACTTAGGTCCCGTGTACACATTGGCGTGCGCGTAAAAGATCTCTTGGCAGTTGGAATTCGATATAAGAGTAGGCCGTGGTGCCGCTGTCCGGGAAAAATTTTCCTCATAGCACACTGGCGTATGCCCGTCTTTATTAGCCCGGTTCGAAGCAGAACAGTAGGACGTTAAACCCCATTTCATTTCACTTCATTTGCCAGTCATTATCACATATGTGATAAAACTGGTTAAACGCGTTCCAGATATAATTTTAACACAGAGATCATTGCTACGATAGATGCGTTATGACGATTTCAAGAAAGGGAAGTAACGAACGCAAAAGAAAAACACGAGTTATCCTTCTATCATCTTCAATGTCCTTCTATACAACTGACTGAAGTGACGAGCGATAACAGATACACGGGCGAATTTCTGCTCACTAATAATTCCTTCGAAGACCAAAAGTTATTTGAGGCTGTGAGAGGATATCTGATAATTCGAAGACCAAAAGTTGTTATGTGAGACTATGAGATGATATCTGATAATTCAAAAACGTAATTGAATGTCACTAGATAAGGGAAAACAGGAAAAATAGAAATAGTCCGTACATTCCCTTGTTTTTATTCATTCTATACTTAATAAATACATGGTAATGCACCTACCTATTAGGACATATTATCGCCTCATTAGGACTTATTAATCTCCTCATTAGGACGTACTATCTCCTACCAAGTATCTCTTAATTTGGACTTAGTATCTCCTTGTTAGGGCTCAGTATCTCCTAATCAGAACATATTATCTCCTAGATAGCATCTCCTTATTAATGTGAGCGTATTTTGTCGTGGCCCAGTCCGACCACCCACCCGACCGTCCGCCCACCCGTCCTTCCGTAAGCAATGTGCTTGTGAGAGCGATTTTCTTTTTTTAAATTTGGTGTGAGTGAAGGAGTCATGATAGACAATACCTATCGATGTCCCCCATCCCTACCCTCACGTCAAAACGTTTGTAAGCGCGATAGATGCTACCGATTTCAGGCGACGTTTCTTTAAATTTAAGCATTGGGGTCATGAAGGGGAGAGCCCTATCGATATTCAACGTTCTGGAGTTACACCCATTACTGTAAACGCGATAGAGGCTACGGTTTTTAACGGATTATTTTTCAAATTTGGCACGAACCAACGAGGTCATTCAGAGTTTGCCGAAAAGTCGATCTTCATTTTCATATTTGATAAGAGAGCCCCAATTAGCACTTAGAAACTCCTAATTAGAACTTACAATCTATTAATTAGCACTTAGTTTCTCCTAACTAGGAGTTACTATATCGTAATTAGGAGTTACTATTGCTGATATCTCCCATGTTATTTAATACCAATCATCAGTGACCTCACCATTCCTTTGATCTTGTTGTTGTCATACATGGTTTCTGCTTTGTTGTTATTTCTTGTCTATATAATTGCCGTACCCTACACATTTGTAAAACAGCAGATATGCTCCTCTGTAGGGATCACAGTGAAGTGTCGTCTACGAAACATGAATTAAACAATATCCGAATTGAATTTAAAGATCAGACAAAGTTTCTAGGAAGGCCAATGTGGATTCTGGAGTCTGTAATGCAGCATAATGTAGGATTGATACTTAACCCTTTTTACCTTTTGTTAAGCTAGCACGATCTTGTGGTAAACACGTGGTACACAATATAAATCGTATGCTTCCATGTTACTGAATAGTTTTGTTTTTTCAAATATTAGTTCCAGGTTCCGAATTGGGGCATTTATAGTCTCGTTAATAGTAAGTGCAAGATGAACGCGCTACACGTAAAACGAAAATCTACAAGATAAACCTGCGGACAAGACAGAAAATAGACATTGCACCAAATAAACAAATATCAAATCAAGTGAATTGATCCGGGGGTCAGCCGTAAGCGTTCACTGCGCTGTACAGTCCCGGGCCTGTAGTGACACAGACTTCACTGAAATTTGAAAACAATTAGGAATACAAAAAAAGAAGTAACAGAAATAATGCGACCAATCTTGACAGTGGTCGTCACCTCAATGGCGATTGTCTGCCAGTTGACGTCATGAGATAGAACGTCAAATAATTTTAACAATAAGGGCGATAATCCGGATAGAATCTCGGAAAACGCTAAAATAATAAGGGTTTACATTTAGGCACTCAAGTCCCAACACATTTAAGGGCCGTATAGAAATTATATTACAGAATCTGCGTCTTTTTTTTATAATGGCTGAATGGATATCTCTGAAACACGGTAAGGATCACCCTAAGATGATAAAGGTAAGAGTTAGTCTGAAAGTAGCTGAAAAATTTTAATAAATAGTGGCATGAATGTTACTTAGCTTGTGGTTGTTGAGATTTAGTCTAATGAAATTGCCCGTGAACCCTTTAATGGTTTTCAACAAAAAATTGGTAGGTATGTTGATTGAGTGGTGCTTGATTCATTCATGCGCTAGGCAGCCATTTCATGGGCAATCCAATGAAAAAAGGAAATCAAAATTAAGTTTGTTAAAATTTGAAATTATCGCTGTTACCTTTGTTGTAAAAGGTTTATTTCATCTGATTTTTCTTAATTATATAACATGTTTCTTTTGTCACATTTCTCAGTAGTAGACCCTATACTTGAGTATTGGATCATCCTCGGTTACCCAGTGTACTCATTCCGTTCTACTCCACTTATACCCTGGGTTAATCCATAGGTTTTCCACGATTTCAAATTATCTGCCCTGGTCTAGAATGTAGCTACAGTCTACGAACCAATCAGAAAACAGTTTACAAACCAATCGTTTCGCCTTCGTTTTATAAGGGTAGATAACCATATTCATGTCCATTTACTGAAGGATTTATGTAAATAGTGTATATATTTATAATTTATTTATATTTAATTGTATTATTAAAATCTGTAGTATGTGTTGTTGATTTCAAATATATATGTATAACATCTATATGTTTGACTTTTGTTATTATTATTCCTATTCGTATTTTGTCTGAAATATATCATTCTGTTATGTTTTTTATTATTGAACTTATACTTGGCAATTTGATTCACAAAATTTGTCTGCGATATCACCTCGGTGGAAGCGGACGTAAAATACAACTAACAAACAACAAACATTCACGTCTACGATATCACGTGGACATAAAATTCCGGGAACGAACGAAGGATTCTAAATAAAACTAATGACCCCACATTATGATATGAACGTCTGGTCTTCATTAACATAATATATAATTGGTTGTTAATAATTACGTATTTAGAATAGGCCAACTCCTAACATTGTCAGATGAGAGTTACTTCCCTTTGCAAACTTCCTTTTCAAATAACAATTTATGGGATTGGTCGCTAAAAATAGCACAATCATCAAGGGCGGATAACTTGAAAACGTGTCTTCCCCATAGATTAACCCAGGCTATAGTGGAGTAGAACGGAATGAGTACACTGGGTAACCGAGGATGGTATTGGATTGGCGATCTGGGCAAATAATGACCCCGCCATCATCAAACCTCTGCACGCCGCCGACACTGGCACAATGAACGGACATATTTAGACATGTCCGAATCCAGGCAATAGGTTATGAAAATGAAATGGGGTTTTACGTCCTACTGTTTTGCTCCTAAACTGGGCTAATGAAGACGGGCATACGCCATACAGTGTGCTATGAGGGAAATTTTGCTCGGGCAGCGGCGCTACGGCCTACTTTTATATCGAATTCCAACTGCCAAGGGATCTTTTACGTGCACGCCAATTTGTACACGGGACCTCGGTTTTTCGGCCCATCCGAACGACTAGACAGCTGTACTTGTCAGGCCCTCCGTCCTGCATCACTGACAAGAGGAAACCACGCCGGAAAATCTGGATGAACTTTCTCGGCAAATGCAGGGATCGAACACCCGACCTCCAGGCTAGCGAGCCAGCGTCTTACCCACTTAGCCACGTGATCCCCAATAGGTTATGAATTTATCTGCAATCCATCTTGGATTTTCGGCTCTCCTAGAGAGGTTTCAGAGGTAGCAAACTACAAATATCTTCACTAAGGTCCCTTCTATCACGGATCTGGGGTGTGTGATCCTACTAGTGAGATTGTTCATTGGGGCACCGGAAAGAGTCCTATCCAAATTTAAATTTTCGTATCACAAATTTCGAATGTAAAGAAGGACATTGTTTTGTAACAAGCACGCATGACTTTTTTCTTGACGGGCGTATAATTCTGAATTGTTGATTTAAAAGAAATAATTGATGTAGGCCTGCATGTATAAGAAATAAAAAAAATTATATTCATTCTTTATAACGTCTCCTTTTAACAATCTGATCCATACTATAGTTTATAGTAGTCCTATGATCCGATCAATTTTATAGTTTTAGACATTATCCCTTTGTGTTATATTTTAGACAGTAATCCTATGTGTGTGAAATAGCTTTATTTAACGTCCGCTTCCATCGAGGTGATATCTCAGACAATTACATGTTATGTATACATTGTGAATATATAACATGTAATTGTTTGCGATATCACCTCGGTGGAAGCGGACGTTAAATAAAGCTATTTCACACACATAGGACTACTGTCTAGTCCTATGATCTAATCAATGTTATATATTTTAGACAGTAGGCATTTGATCTGATCAGTGTTATATTTTAGACAGTACTCCTTCAATCTGATCAATGTTATAGCTTAGACAGTAGGCCTATGGATCTAACGTGTTTATCCCTGAAATTATTTCATGTTGAAGATGATTGTTAGTTGAATGGTAGAATAATGTAGTAAATAAAACATACGTGGAGGGTAGTAAAGATGATTAGACCGACCACATTTAATAGTTGATGGGTCGACAAGGCTTTGTACAGGCGTTAGACCACTCGACCACCCAACCACACGCAACACAATTAAAATGAAATACTTATTATGAAAGTTAGGTTTACAAATGTTGAAAAATGAAGTTTTGGTATCATGATTTTAACAAATTAGATTTTTGAAAGTGAACGTTGTAATGCAAATAACATGGACTGCATATACTTTCGTTTATATCGCCTGAAAATATATACTGAGCGCCATGGAAAACGCATCACTTTTTTTTCCCAAATATTTTATTACTAGGTGGTTTTGTATGTATAATGTTATGCAATACTATGAACTATTGTTTCACACAATGCTCCCAAACGCAAAAAATATCGGCCCGTGTGCACACAAAAAAAAATTGCACGAGATGCACATGAAAAACCCAATATTCACGTGCAGCATTGTGTGTGAGCCCTTTAAAAGCATGTTTTCAACTTAATGTGCAGTACAAGTCATGAACTGTGAAACGTCAATCTGTCGTAATTTGTTGTTGGACGTGTGAAGGAATCGAGCTAGAGATGCCGAGAATCACTGAAAATCAACGGAATGAAGCCATTGGAATGTCCCGGGCTGGCATGTCTACACGTGCTATTGCCAGACACTTCAATTGTCATCAGTCCACTATTGTAATGTTGGTGGAACGTGTTCGAGTCACTGGATCAACACGTGACCGTCAACGTCCTGGTCCACAACGCGTTACAACCCAGGCTCAAGACCGCTACATCCGGGTCACTCATCTGCGTGACAGATTCCGCCCAGCGACTCGAACAGGTGCAGCAGTCGTCGGAAGACAAGGACCAGTAGGTGCCAACACCGTAAGACGTCGTCTAAGAGAAGTAGGACTCCGTGCACGACGACCTTATGTTGGAGCTATCCTCAGGGATCATCACCGTCAGCGGCGTTTGATATGGGCTCAAGCATGGGCGTCACACATGGGGGTGTCCGACCCCCCTCCCCAGATTGTTTTTCGGGGGGGGGGGGGGGTCTGAATATACTTTACCCCCCCCCCCCCAAAAAGAAATAAAATTACATAGTAGGCCAAAACTCCTATTTATTTACAACAATTATTAGGATTAGTTAAGATTCTATCTGTATAAAACCTGTACATATCCCAATATGGTTTATACTGCTAAAATAAAACACAGAGATAATCATCCTGGAAACATGTGTGAAGTGAAAAGTACCTGTGTTCCATAAAATTGTGTCTAGTTAGCCTGTCAGTAATATTTTGTTAGTTTTTTTCTGCCACTTATCAGAGTGAATCGCATGTAGGTACCCAAAAACATAACCGCCTAAACCAAATATTTATCGCCCGCAAAGCCAGCCACGTAACCATAATGCTTTTGCACGCGGTGTCTTGGTAGACAGCATGGCCACATGGTGTTTGTTTATATTTTTTAGGGGGTTTAAAAATATATATTTCACGACTACGCCTCTGGGCTCAAGGACACCAGACATGCTGCGTCTTCGAAACGAATCGATGGGGTGGGGGAAGTGTAATGGAGTGGAGAGGCTTCACATTTCATCACCGGACCGCCCTACTCATTTGCAGGGGTCCCGTTAATGCTGTAGCCTACCGTGATGATGGCCCGTGGAGGACACACGCGCTACTGACATCTGTGTCGTACTTTTGGTTTTTACCCCTCTGACTTTGTACCCTTGATTACAGATTAAACATCCATAAGTGTACAAATGTGTTGTTATTGATGTGTTCCCATTTGAATATTGTTCACAATAAGAAGCAAAATAAATAAGATATGTTTACAGGATCATTTTGTTATACGAAAAACTAAGTGATGCGTTTTCCATGGCGCTCAGTATATAATCCCATTTTTCTGCATAGGATCAATTTCACACCCAAAGACTTTATCTCAAGAAACTTTCATTTCAAACGATGACATACGCCAAACCGTGCACAATTAAATAAATAAATAAAATATAGTGATAGCCGTGTTTCGATCACGATACAAACACAAGAAATTCGAGTGGTATCAGGCTTTCTACAAAGAGGAAGATTACCTTTCTCATATAGCCCAAATGGGATACTATCAATCTGACGTGTTTAAATTTAAATGTGAATATTGTTACATGTGTTTAGATGAAGAGATATACAGATGTAATGATAAAAACAACCGCCAATCAAGTTTGTTGATGCATCTAATTGAATGGGCCTTGAACAAACCGAGATTAATTTCAGCTCCAGGCATTCCCCGAAATGATATTTTCTGGACGATAGGAGGGGCAGTATTATACAAAAAGAAACCAGGGAGTGCAGGCGGTGAAAACACAGAATATAATTGCAAATGATACGAGTAAGTATTTTTTTTAATATAATTTTCTAAATTATTTCGGGACCGTTACTTTCTTCTTTAATTTAAGCAATACAATTATAACATTATACATAGGACACAATTCTGTGGAATAGAATTATTCTTATTACTGATCGAGGTTTCGCTCACGATTCTCCTGTCCAGTATTTCCCAAATTGGGGTCTGTAAAAGTGTTTGAGGATCATCGTTTCGGACAGGGTTCACGGGGGCCCGTGGATAAAAGAGGGGTTCTGTGAAAAAAGATAACCCTGTAAAATTGAAATTTTTGGTATTGGGACAATGATTTTCAGTAGCTGCTATCCGAGTCCACATTTACTTCTTTTCATCAGATGGAATAGAAGCCAAGAACAAATCAGGCGCGCATACCGCGGGATAGGGTGTGGGGGGAGAGGGGTAAGGGGACATACGCTGTGCAGTATGCTATGAGGCGTTTCCGCCTTGTCTTCATCGAATTGTAACTGTCAAGGGTTCATTTACGGTTCCTAGATTTTTTGTCCCATCCAAAATACTAGACACTGTTCCTTGCCACAACATCCACCCTGAACCTGAGATAGGAAACCACGCTAAAAAATCACGAGGTATTTCCTCGGTAAACAACAGGATCGAACCCGTAGCCAATATGGCTCCCGTATTGAAATATCTCTAAACGGTATTTGTAGTATATCATATGTTAGGGTTCTCGTGGCTCAGTCCCGTTGGCCGAGAAAGTTAATCGGGATTTTCCGAGAGAGAGAGAGAGAGAGAGAGAGAGAAATAGGATTTAACGTCCACACGACACAAACTAGGTCATTCGGGACTACTCATTGTCACGTACAAGCGAGGAATCGAAACCACGCCAGTTGACCCAATGACAGACCTTATGATACAACGCGCACGCACTAACCATCCACCCCCACCCCCAATGGTATAGGACGGGACAACGTATAATCCTTCGGAATGAACGAAAACTCGAGTACACATTGGGGTGCACATAAAAGAACTCTTGGAATTCGATATGGAATTGCTGCTAAAATTCACCCAAAGCACACTACATGGCGTATGCTGGTCTTCATTAGACCAAAGGGACGGGGGGCGGGGGGGGGGGGGATGGTTAGCACGCGCGCACTGTATCATACGGTTTGTCGGTTTGTCATTGAGTCAGCTGGCGGGGTATCGATTCCCCGGTTGTACGTGACAAGGAGTGGGGTCGCAGGTCCAACCTCGTGGGTTTTCTCAATTATTGAAATAAAATTAAACCATGTGTTAGTCCCGAAATGACCTAGTTTGTGTCGAGTGGAAGTTACCCCTCTCTCTCTCTCTCTCTCTCTCTCTCTCTCTCTCTCTCTCTCGCGCGCTCTCTCTCTCTCTCTCTCATTAGGCAACTCGGAGCTGAATAGTAGGACGTTAAACTCCATTTCATTTCATTTTAGGGTTCTCGTAATATTACACTTTCCCAAACTGTGGTAGAAATTTGGGTTTCATGGATTTTAAGTAAGGCTAAAAAAAACCTTTAAATATAAGTGTATTCATATCATGTTTCAAGGAAATGTAATTGTCTTTATAATACGCTTGCTCGACTTTCTGGTGCGCAAGAAATATACAGTGTTGTACAAGTAACATAAAATATCATAATACATGTACAATAGGCATCCTTTGGCATATATAAATTGTGGAAAGTAGATTGGTATTTATCAAGCTTCAAACAGCTAGAATTAATTTATTCAGCTCGCTTCACTCCCTTGTCTTTCGCTTTTCGTGGTTACAAAAGGACGAGATACAATTTCACAAGAATGAGCGTTCACTAAACCACTTTAAAATTGTTGCATAATAATAGTATAACATTATAATTGGCTGAAAATTACATTGTACGCAGCCGGGATATAATCAGCCGTAAGGGTAAAGAGTCTTTCTCATGCCTAGGGATAGATGTCTTATCTTTAATTTACAACTAATTGATTGCCGATATCAAAGGAATAAAGCATTAGATGAAGAGCCTTTCTTGTGCCGTAAATGAAAAAAAAATTGAATTCTATGACTTGATGCATTTTTATTAATTTTTCTATATATCGTATACATGATGGCGAACACAGAGAGAGAAAGAGAGGGGGGGGGGGGTTAACGTCCACTCGACACAAACTAGGTCATTTCGGGACTAACATATGGTTCAACAATATTTCGCTTGCGCGTAGGGGTCTTTAGCAGTGGTAGGAAACCGGAGGACCCGGAGAAAATCCACCGAGGATGTACAGGCGACCCTACTCCATGTCACTTACTACCTGGGAATCGAAACCACGCCAGTTGACTCAATGACAGACCTTATGATACAGCGCGCACGTGCTAACCATTCGGCCATCCAACCCCCTCCTGGGAACATATCAAAATATGATTATAATATTCGCATAAATATATATTATTTATTGATTTATTTCGATAATCGGAGTGTGCGAATTATATAATAAAAATTGCCACCCCACAAAATCGAACACATTGATGTTCATTTTGAAATGAATTTGAAATATTATTATCATGCAAAACAGAATGATATTGGTCATTCTGGGTTTACATTCATTTTTGATAAATAGAAACTATAATTGATACTATATTCTTTTTTAATATCAAATATCATAGCACTCATCGATAAATTATTAAAAGCCCTCGAACAAAATCGTTTCTTTGTCGACTGTGTGTATTGATATATATTTTTATATATAAAGGAGTTGAATGAATGTAATGGCTTTTATTTAACGTCCTACCCATTCAGCCCCAACCTAGCAGAAATTGAAATCCAACTATCTCGGGATCTTTTAAGTGTACTCAATGGTTTTTTCTTTTCATCCGGACGACGCAACGCTGTTCCTATAAGGACATGTATGAGATTTTCCGTTTATTCAAAAAGAATCCAATATATCACAATAATAAATGTTCAGGAATGTTGGCAGAAAAATGGAATTAAACTACTAACACAAATTCAACAATTAGCGATAAAAACAGCGAATACTACATTTTGGCGCATAAACCAGCTAGGTCGGTTAATATTCCGAAATCAATACCAACTCCAAATGCCACGTCAGTGACATCGCTAACGTCAGTGAATATTACTTCAGTAAGCCCATATACCATATTTCAGAAATATCAGTAATCTCTACCACAAGGATCGACCCCTTGATGATTGCTACTTTAGCAGCCTCAGCGTTGTCGGTTACGTGTCCAACATCAGTTACAAATACAATTTCTTCTCCCTCACAGACAAGTAACGGCTGAGGTACAAATACCACTTCAACGTCAGTAACCGGTACAAAGCCCGTTACCATCCCTACCGCAGCAACTTCAACAAATCAGACTTCAGTTATCTCTGATATTTTAGCAACACCAGCTACAGTTGTATCATATTATATTCCCAAATATACTATTCAAAAAAAGTAGGGGATATTTGATTTTTAAGTGTTATTAAAGTCACCTAATGAAACTGACGAAGAAACAAATGACAAAATGAAATGAAGTTCACATTCATCGATTTATTCCAAATGATCGTTAGACTAAGTAAGGCACAGACTGACCATTATAAGGGTAAAATGATACCCGGGGTCAAACAGCAAAGTTACCACAGCATCACAACCAAGTCAGTAACGGGTAAATCCTCCTCTGTTTGCCAAACAAGCATTGATCCGACGTGGCATACTCCTAATGAGACGTCTAAGGTCATTTTGGTCCAGATTGTCCCATTCCTGTTGCAACGCAGCAGCAAGTTGTTGGACATTGGCAGGACGTTGTTGACGTTGACGTAACCTCTGTCCAAGCATGTCCCAGACATGCTCGATGGGGGAGAGGTCGGGACTCAGTGCTGGCCAAGGTAATGTGGTGATGTTCTGTTGTTGGAGGTAACCTGTAACGATCCTGGCCCTGTGACATCTTGCGTTGTCATCCTGGAAGATGAAACGGCGGCCATGACGTCGTGCGAACGGCACAGCATGGACTGCCAAGATGTTGTCCCGGTAGTACTGGCCTGTAACACGCCCTGCAACAACATGTAAAGCCGTTCTTCCAGCAACAGTGATGCCTCCCCACACCATAACAGAACCACCCCCAAATCGATCATGTCTGATGACGTTAACGTCTTGGAAGCGCTCGTTTCGACGACGCCACACCCTCCTACGTCTGTCCAAAAAATCAACAGTGAACCTTGACTCATCTGAAAACATCACATTGCTCCAGCGTCGATTATCCCAGTGTTGACGATCCCTACACCAACGACGTCTTGCCTGAATGTGATGATCTCTCAAACAAGGGATCACGCGAGGACGTCGGGCGCGAAGGTGACCCCTATGCAGTCGATTCCGAATCGTCTGGCCACTCACTCTCACACCAGTGTCTGTTTGAAGACGAGCGCTGATCTGATTTGCTGTGATGACACGATTTCTCAAGGCCAAGGTACGGATAAATCGATCCTGGGCTTGAGTTGTCGACCTGAGCGTGGTCTGTCCTGTACAGATTGTGTATCACGGTATCTGGACCATAGCCTGCTTATGACAGACTGAGAAACATTCATCGTCCGCGCCACAACCGCCTGTGTTGTGCCGATCTGTAGCATGCCAAGGGCACGTAACCTTTCATTTTGGGTAAGCCGACGCATATCAAAATTTGTTTTCTGGTCACTAAAACAATTAAACTGATGTTTCCACCCTGGAATTCAATGCCACAATGACTGTAACATTCAAAGTCAGAGTCGTGCAAATCTTGGGTTGGACCCCCATGATGATCCCAAGCATCACATGCATTCCATGCGGTAGCTATTGGTGCGTTTGGGCGTCACATGTAACTGGAAATGTTTCTTCTGTTAGGTTCTATAGTGACTTTTTTCGTAGTCATTTGCATATTTTAGTATTATGCCCCCAAAATCAAATATCCCCTACTTTTTTTGAATAGTATATATAACAATACATGCAGTCGCCTCCATAACAACAATTCACGAATTTAAAAATTGGAGACGTCAATTATTATAACATTTTTTCAGATTCTTCCATTAATTGTAATTTCTCCAAGAGAGAAACAAAGATTTTAAACAAAATGACTGAAAGATTTCTGTCACAAATTTTTGCACACCGACCAAAAATATAATATAATTGCTCTATAATCATTTCCTTTATTATATTTAGCTGTGAAATGAGGATTCTGTTAAGTATTCGAAATTCCATTAATATGGTTCTAATATTATTTCTGATTGCATCAAGTTCGGACGCAACCACAAGTGCTACTTCAGCAACATCGGCTACTAGTCCAACATCAGTGACAAGTGCCACTTCTGTTACCTCACCGACAAGTGCCACTTCTGTTACATCTCCAACATCACCAACTTCGGGGACAAGTCAGACTTCTGCTACATCAGTTACCTCTGCCACAAGTCAAACCTCCGTGACAAGTGCAACATCTGCAACATCGGCGACGTCGATTACTAGTCCAACATCGGTGACAAGTGCAACGTCTGCTACGTCACCGACAAGTGCCACTTCTGCTACATCACCAACATCCGTAACCAGTGCCACCTCTGTTACAAGTCCGACATCAGCGACTTCTGCTACATCTCCAACATCAGTAACCAGTGTCACCTCTGTTACAAGCCCCACATCAGTAACTTCGCCGACAAGCCACACTTCTGCTACATCAGTTACATCTGTCACAAGTCAAACCTCCGTGACAAGTGCTACGTCAGCAACATCAATAACGTCGGTAACTAGTCCAACATCTGTGACCAGTGCAACTTCTGCTACTTCGCCGACAAGTGCCACGTCTGCAACATCTCCAACATCAGTAACCAGTGTCACCTCTGTTACTAGCCCCACGTCGGCGACCTCTGCCACATCACAAACATCAGTAACCAGTGTCACCTCCGTTACAAGCCCCACATCAGTAACTTCCCCGACTAGTCAGACTTCTGCAACATCGGTTACCTCTGCCACAAGTCAAACCTCCGTGACAAGTGCAACATCTGCAACATCGGCGACATCGATTACAAGTCCCACATCAGTGACAAGTGCAACATCTGTGACGTCACCGAGAAGTGCCACTTCAGCTACATCTCCAACATCAGTAACCAGTGGCACCTCTGTTACAAGTCCGACGTCAGCGACTTCTGCTACATCTCCAACATCGGTAACCAGTGTCACCTCCGTTACTAGCCCCACATCAGTAACTTCGCCGGCAAGTCAGACTTCTGCAACATCCGATACATCTGCTACAAGTCAAACCTCCGTAACAAGCGCTACGTCAGCAACATCAATAACGTCGGTAACTAGTCCAACATCGGTGACCAGTGCAACTTCTGCAACCTCACCGACAAGTGCCACGTCTGCAACATCTCCAACATCATTAACCAGTGCCACCTCTATTACAAGTCCTACATCAGCGACTTCTGCTACATCCCCAACATCAGTAACCAGTGTCACTTCCGTTACAAGCCCCACATCAGCAACTTCGCGGACAAGTCAGACTTCTGCTACATCAGTTACCTCTGCCACAAGTCAAACCTCCGTGACAAGTGCAACATCTGCAACATCGGCGACGTCGATTACTAGTCCAACATCTGTGACAAGTGCAACGTCTGCTACGTCACCGACAAGTGTCACTTCTGCTACATCACCAACATCAGTAACCAGTGTCACCTCTGTTACAAGTCCGACGTCAGCGACTTCTGCTACATCTCCAACATCAGTAAACAGTGTTACCTCTGTTACAAGCCCCACATCAGTAACTTCGCCGACAAGCCACACTTCTGCTACATCAGTTACATCTGCCACAAGTCAAACCTCCGTCACAAGTGCTACGTCAGCAACATCAATAACGTCGGTAACTAGTCCAACATCAGTGACCAGTGCAACGTCTGCTACCTCGCCGACAAGTGCCACGTCTGCAACATCTCCAACATCAGTAACCAGTGTCACCTCTGTTACTAGCCCCAGGTCGGCGACCTCTGCCACATCACAAACATCAGTAACCAGTGTCACCTCCGTTACAAGCCCCACATCAGTAACTTCCCCGACAAGTCAGACTTCTGCAACATCAGATACATCTGCTACAAGTCAAACCTCCGTAACAAGCGCTACGTCAGCAACATCAATAACGTCGGTAACTAGTCCAACATCGGTGACCAGTGCAACTTCTGCAACCTCACCGACAAGTGCCACGTCTGCAACATCTCCAACATCATTAACCAGTGCCACCTCTATTACAAGTCCTACATCAGCGACTTCTGCTACATCCCCAACATCAGTAACCAGTGTCACTTCCGTTACAAGCCCCACATCAGCAACTTCGCAGACAAGTCAGACTTCTGCTACATCAGTTACCTCTGCCACAAGTCAAACCTCCGTGACAAGTGCAACATCTGCAACATCGGCGACGTCGATTACTAGTCCAACATCAGTGACAAGTGCAACGTCTGCTACATCACCGACAAGTGTCACTTCTGGTACATCACCAACATCAGTAACCAGTGCCACCTCTGTTACAAGTCCGACATCAGCGACTTCTGCTACATCCCCAACATCAGTAACCAGTGTCACCTCCGTTACAAGCCCCACATCAGTAACTTCCCCGACAAGTCAGACTTCTGCAACATCAGATACATCTGCCACAAGTCAAACCTCCGTGACAAGTGCAACGTCTGCTACGTCACCGACAAGTGTCACTTCTGCTACATCACCAACATCAGTAACCAGTGTCACCTCTGTTACAAGTCCGACGTCAGCGACTTCTGCTACATCTCCAACATCAGTAACCAGTGTTACCTCTGTTACAAGCCCCACATCAGTAACTTCGCCGACAAGCCACACTTCTGCTACATCAGTTACATCTGCCACAAGTCAAACCTCCGTCACAAGTGCTACGTCAGCAACATCAATAACGTCGGTAACTAGTCCAACATCAGTGACCAGTGCAACGTCTGCTACCTCGCCGACAAGTGCCACGTCTGCAACATCTCCAACATCAGTAACAAGTGTCACCTCTGTCACTAGCCCCACGTCGGCGACCTCTGCCACATCACAAACATCAGTAACCAGTGTCACCTCCGTTACAAGCCCCACATCAGTAACTTCCCCGACAAGTCAGACTTCTGCAACATCAGATACCTCTGCCACAAGTCAAACCTCCGTGACAAGTGCAACATCTGCAACATCGGCGACGTCGATTACTAGTCCAACATCAGTGACAAGTGCAACGTCTGCTACGTCACCGACAAGTGTCACTTCTGCTACATCACCAACATCAGTAACCAGTGCCACTTCTGTTACAAGTCCGACATCAGCGACTTCTGCTACATCCCCAACATCAGTAACCAGTGTCACCTCCGTTACAAGCCCCACATCAGTAACTTCCCCGACAAGTCAGACTTCTGCAACATCAGATACATCTGCCACAAGTCAAACCTCCGTGACAAGTGCAACATCTGCAACATCGGCGACGTCGATTACTAGTCCAACATCGGTGACAAGTGCAACGTCTGCTACGTCACCGACAAGTGTCACTTCTGCTACATCACCAACATCAGTAACCAGTGTCACCTCTGTTACAAGTCCGACGTCAGCGACCTCTGCTACATCTCCAACATCAGTAACCAGTGTTACCTCTGTTACAAGCCCCACATCAGTAAATTCGCCGACAAGCCACACTTCTGCTACATCAGTTACATCTGCCACAAGTCAAACCTCCGTCACAAGTGCTACGTCAGCAACATCAATAACGTCGGTAACTAGTCCAACATCAGTGACCAGTGCAACGTCTGCTACCTCGCCGACAAGTGCCACGTCTGCAACATCTCCAACATCAGTAACCAGTGTCACCTCTGTCACTAGCCCCACGTCGGCGACCTCTGCCACATCACAAACATCAGTAACCAGTGTCACCTCCGTTACAAGCCCCACATCAGTAACTTCCCCGACAAGTCAGACTTCTGCAACATCAGATACCTCTGCCACAAGTCAAACCTCCGTGACAAGTGCAACATCTGCAACATCGGCGACGTCGATTACTAGTCCAACATCAGTGACAAGTGCAACGTCTGCTACGTCACCGACAAGTGTCACTTCTGGTACATCACCAACATCAGTAACCAGTGCCACTTCTGTTACAAGTCCGACATCAGCGACTTCTGCTACATCCCCAACATCAGTAACCAGTGTCACCTCCGTTACAAGCCCCACATCAGTAACTTCCCCGACAAGTCAGACTTCTGCAACATCAGATACATCTGCCACAAGTCAAACCTCCGTGACAAGTGCAACATCTGCAACATCGGCGACGTCGATTACTAGTCCAACATCGGTGACAAGTGCAACGTCTGCTACGTCACCGACAAGTGTCACTTCTGCTACATCACCAACATCAGTAACCAGTGTCACCTCTGTTACAAGTCCGACGTCAGCGACCTCTGCTACATCTCCAACATCAGTAACCAGTGTTACCTCTGTTACAAGCCCCACATCAGTAACTTCGCCGACAAGCCACACTTCTGCTACATCAGTTACATCTGCCACAAGTCAAACCTCCGTCACAAGTGCTACGTCAGCAACATCAATAACGTCGGTAACTAGTCCAACATCAGTGACCAGTGCAACGTCTGCTACCTCGCCGACAAGTGCCACGTCTGCAACATCTCCAACATCAGTAACCAGTGTCACCTCTGTTACTAGCCCCACGTCGGCGACCTCTGCCACATCACAAACATCAGTAACCAGTGTCACCTCCGTTACAAGCCCCACATCAGTAACTTCTCCGACAAGTCAGACTTCTGCAACATCAGATACATCTGCTACAAGTCAATCCTCCGTAACAAGCGCTACGTCAGCAACATCAATAACGTCGTTAACTAGTCCAACATCGGTGACCAGTGTAACTTCTGCAACCTCACCGACAAGTGCCACGTCTGCAACATCTCCAACATCATTAACCAGTGCCACCTCTATTACAAGTCCTACATCAGCAACTTCTGCTACATCCCCAACATCAGTAACCAGTGTCACTTCCCTTACAAGCCCCACATCAGCAACTTCGCGGACAAGTCAGACTTCTGCTACATCAGTTACCTCTGCCACAAGTCAAACCTCCGTGACAAGTGCAACATCTGCAACATCGGCGACGTCGATTACTAGTCCAACATCTGTGACAAGTGCAACGTCTGCTACGTCACCGACAAGTGTCACTTCTGCTACATCACCAACATCAGTAACCAGTGCCACCTCTGTTACAAGTCCGACATCAGCGACTTCTGCTACATCCCCAACATCAGTAACCAGTGTCACTTCCGTTACAAGCCCCACATCAGCAACTTCGCGGACAAGTCAGACTTCTGCTACATCAGTTACCTCTGCCACAAGTCAAACCTCCGTGACAAGTGCAACATCTGCAACATCGGCGACGTCGATTACTAGTCCAACATCGGTGACAAGTGCAACGTCTGCTACGTCACCGACAAGTGTCACTTCTGCTACATCACCAACATCAGTAACCAGTGCCACCTCTGTTACAAGTCCGACGTCAGCGACTTCTGCTACATCTCCAACATCAGTAACCAGTGTTACCTCTGTTACAAGCCCCACATCAGTAACTTCGCCGACAAGCCACACTTCTGCTACATCAGTTACATCTGCCACAAGTCAAACCTCCGTGACAAGTGCTACGTCAGCAACATCAATAACGTCGGTAACTAGTCCAACATCAGTGACCAGTGCAACGTCTGCTACCTCGCCGACAAGTGCCACGTCTGCAACATCTCCAACATCAGTAACCAGTGTCACCTCTGTCACTAGCCCCACGTCGGCGACCTCTGCCACATCCCCAACATCAGTAACCAGTGTCACTTCCGTTACAAGCCCCACATCAGCAACTTCGCGGACAAGTCAGACTTCTGCTACATCAGTTACCTCTGCCACAAGTCAAACCTCCGTGACAAGTGCAACATCTGCAACATCGGCGACGTCGATTACTAGTCCAACATCTGTGACAAGTGCAACGTCTGCTACGTCACCGACAAGTGTCACTTCTGCTACATCACCAACATCAGTAACCAGTGCCACCTCTGTTACAAGTCCGACATCAGCGACTTCTGCTACATCCCCAACATCAGTAACCAGTGTCACTTCCGTTACAAGCCCCACATCAGCAACTTCGCGGACAAGTCAGACTTCTGCTACATCAGTTACCTCTGCCACAAGTCAAACCTCCGTGACAAGTGCAACATCTGCAACATCGGCGACGTCGATTACTAGTCCAACATCTGTGACAAGTGCAACGTCTGCTACGTCACCGACAAGTGTCACTTCTGCTACATCACCAACATCAGTAACCAGTGCCACCTCTGTTACAAGTCCGACATCAGCGACTTCTGCTACATCCCCAACATCAGTAACCAGTGTCACTTCCGTTACAAGCCCCACATCAGCAACTTCGCGGACAAGTCAGACTTCTGCTACATCAGTTACCTCTGCCACAAGTCAAACCTCCGTGACAAGCGCAACATCTGCAACATCGGCGACGTCGATTACTAGTCCAACATCTGTGACAAGTGCAACGTCTGCTACGTCACCGACAAGTGTCACTTCTGCTACATCACCAACATCAGTAACCAGTGCCACCTCTGTTACAAGTCCGACGTCAGCGACTTCTGCTACATCTCCAACATCAGTAACCAGTGTTACCTCTGTTACAAGCCCCACATCAGTAACTTCGCCGACAAGCCACACTTCTGCTACATCAGTTACATCTGCCACAAGTCAAACCTCCGTGACAAGTGCTACGTCAGCAACATCAATAACGTCGGTAACTAGTCCAACATCAGTGACCAGTGCAACGTCTGCTACCTCGCCGACAAGTGCCACGTCTGCAACATCTCCAACATCAGTAACCAGTGTCACCTCTGTCACTAGCCCCACGTCGGCGACCTCTGCCACATCCCCAACATCAGTAACCAGTGTCACTTCCGTTACAAGCCCCACATCAGCAACTTCGCGGACAAGTCAGACTTCTGCTACATCAGTTACCTCTGCCACAAGTCAAACCTCCGTGACAAGTGCAACATCTGCAACATCGGCGACGTCGATTACTAGTCCAACATCTGTGACAAGTGCAACGTCTGCTACGTCACCGACAAGTGTCACTTCTGCTACATCACCAACATCAGTAACCAGTGCCACCTCTGTTACAAGTCCGACGTCAGCGACTTCTGCTACATCTCCAACATCAGTAACCAGTGTTACCTCTGTTACAAGCCCCACATCAGTAACTTCGCCGACAAGCCACACTTCTGCTACATCAGTTACATCTGCCACAAGTCAAACCTCCGTCACAAGTGCTACGTCAGCAACATCAATAACGTCGGTAACTAGTCCAACATCAGTGACCAGTGCAACGTCTGCTACCTCGCCGACAAGTGCCACGTCTGCAACATCTCCAACATCAGTAACAAGTGTCACCTCTGTCACTAGCCCCACGTCGGCAACCTCTGCCACATCACAAACATCAGTAACCAGTGTCACCTCCGTTACAAGCCCCACATCAGTAACTTCCCCGACAAGTCAGACTTCTGCAACATCAGATACCTCTGCCACAAGTCAAACCTCCGTGACAAGTGCAACATCTGCAACATCGGCGACGTCGATTACTAGTCCAACATCAGTGACAAGTGCAACGTCTGCTACGTCACCGACAAGTGTCACTTCTGGTACATCACCAACATCAGTAACCAGTGCCACCTCTGTTACAAGTCCGACATCAGCGACTTCTGCTACATCCCCAACATCAGTAACCAGTGTCACCTCCATTACAAGCCCCACATCAGTAACTTCCCCGACAAGTCAGACTTCTGCAACATCAGATACATCTGCCACAAGTCAAACCTCCGTGACAAGTGCAACATCTGCAACATCGGCGACGTCGATTACTAGTCCAACATCTGTGACAAGTGCAACGTCTGCTACGTCACCGACAAGTGTCACTTCTGCTACATCACCATCATCAGTAACCAGTGTCACCTCTGTTACAAGTCCGACGTCAGCGACCTCTGCTACATCTCCAACATCAGTAACCAGTGTTACCTCTGTTACAAGCCCCACATCAGTAACTTCGCCGACAAGCCACACTTCTGCTACATCAGTTACATCTGCCACAAGTCAAACCTCCGTCACAAGTGCTACGTCAGCAACATCAATAACGTCGGTAACTAGTCCAACATCAGTGACCAGTGCAACGTCTGCTACCTCGCCGACAAGTGCCACGTCTGCAACATCTCCAACATCAGTAACCAGTGTCACCTCTGTTACTAGCCCCACGTCGGCGACCTCTGCCACATCACAAACATCAGTAACCAGTGTCACCTCCGTTACAAGCCCCACATCAGTAACTTCTCCGACAAGTCAGACTTCTGCAACATCAGATACATCTGCTACAAGTCAAACCTCCGTAACAAGCGCTACGTCAGCAACATCAATAACGTCGTTAACTAGTCCAACATCGGTGACCAGTGTAACTTCTGCAACCTCACCGACAAGTGCCACGTCTGCAACATCTCCAACATCATTAACCAGTGCCACCTCTATTACAAGTCCTACATCAGCGACTTCTGCTACATCCCCAACATCAGTGACCAGTGTCACTTCCCTTACAAGCCCCACATCAGCAACTTCGCGGACAAGTCAGACTTCTGCTACATCAGTTACCTCTGCCACAAGTCAAACCTCCGTGACAAGTGCAACATCTGCAACATCGGCGACGTCGATTACTAGTCCAACATCTGTGACAAGTGCAACGTCTGCTACGTCACCGACAAGTGTCACTTCTGCTACATCACCAACATCAGTAACCAGTGCCACCTCTGTTACAAGTCCGACATCAGCGACTTCTGCTACATCCCCAACATCAGTAACCAGTGTCACTTCCGTTACAAGCCCCACATCAGCAACTTCGCGGACAAGTCAGACTTCTGCTACATCAGTTACCTCTGCCACAAGTCAAACCTCCGTGACAAGTGCAACATCTGCAACATCGGCGACGTCGATTACTAGTCCAACATCTGTGACAAGTGCAACGTCTGCTACGTCACCGACAAGTGTCACTTCTGCTACATCACCAACATCAGTAACCAGTGCCACCTCTGTTACAAGTCCGACGTCAGCGACTTCTGCTACATCTCCAACATCAGTAACCAGTGTTACCTCTGTTACAAGCCCCACATCAGTAACTTCGCCGACAAGCCACACTTCTGCTACATCAGTTACATCTGCCACAAGTCAAACCTCCGTGACAAGTGCTACGTCAGCAACATCAATAACGTCGGTAACTAGTCCAACATCAGTGACCAGTGCAACGTCTGCTACCTCGCCGACAAGTGCCACGTCTGCAACATCTCCAACATCAGTAACCAGTGTCACCTCTGTCACTAGCCCCACGTCGGCGACCTCTGCCACATCCCCAACATCAGTAACCAGTGTCACTTCCGTTACAAGCCCCACATCAGCAACTTCGCGGACAAGTCAGACTTCTGCTACATCAGTTACCTCTGCCACAAGTCAAACCTCCGTGACAAGTGCAACATCTGCAACATCGGCGACGTCGATTACTAGTCCAACATCTGTGACAAGTGCAACGTCTGCTACGTCACCGACAAGTGTCACTTCTGCTACATCACCAACATCAGTAACCAGTGCCACCTCTGTTACAAGTCCGACGTCAGCGACTTCTGCTACATCTCCAACATCAGTAACCAGTGTTACCTCTGTTACAAGCCCCACATCAGTAACTTCGCCGACAAGCCACACTTCTGCTACATCAGTTACATCTGCCACAAGTCAAACCTCCGTCACAAGTGCTACGTCAGCAACATCAATAACGTCGGTAACTAGTCCAACATCAGTGACCAGTGCAACGTCTGCTACCTCGCCGACAAGTGCCACGTCTGCAACATCTCCAACATCAGTAACCAGTGTCACCTCTGTCACTAGCCCCACGTCGGCGACCTCTGCCACATCCCCAACATCAGTAACCAGTGTCACTTCCGTTACAAGCCCCACATCAGCAACTTCGCGGACAAGTCAGACTTCTGCTACATCAGTTACCTCTGCCACAAGTCAAACCTCCGTGACAAGTGCAACATCTGCAACATCGGCGACGTCGATTACTAGTCCAACATCTGTGACAAGTGCAACGTCTGCTACGTCACCGACAAGTGTCACTTCTGCTACATCACCAACATCAGTAACCAGTGCCACCTCTGTTACAAGTCCGACGTCAGCGACTTCTGCTACATCTCCAACATCAGTAACCAGTGTTACCTCTGTTACAAGCCCCACATCAGTAACTTCGCCGACAAGCCACACTTCTGCTACATCAGTTACATCTGCCACAAGTCAAACCTCCGTCACAAGTGCTACGTCAGCAACATCAATAACGTCGGTAACTAGTCCAACATCAGTGACCAGTGCAACGTCTGCTACCTCGCCGACAAGTGCCACGTCTGCAACATCTCCAACATCAGTAACAAGTGTCACCTCTGTCACTAGCCCCACGTCGGCGACCTCTGCCACATCACAAACATCAGTAACCAGTGTCACCTCCGTTACAAGCCCCACATCAGTAACTTCCCCAACAAGTCAGACTTCTGCAACATCAGATACCTCTGCCACAAGTCAAACCTCCGTGACAAGTGCAACATCTGCAACATCGGCGACGTCGATTACTAGTCCAACATCAGTGACAAGTGCAACGTCTGCTACGTCACCGACAAGTGTCACTTCTGGTACATCACCAACATCAGTAACCAGTGCCACCTCTGTTACAAGTCCGACATCAGCGACTTCTGCTACATCCCCAACATCAGTAACCAGTGTCACCTCCGTTACAAGCCCCACATCAGTAACTTCCCCGACAAGTCAGACTTCTGCAACATCAGATACATCTGCCACAAGTCAAACCTCCGTGACAAGTGCAACATCTGCAACATCGGCGACGTCGATTACTAGTCCAACATCTGTGACAAGTGCAACGTCTGCTACGTCACCGACAAGTGTCACTTCTGCTACATCACCAACATCAGTAACCAGTGTCACCTCTGTTACAAGTCCGACGTCAGCGACCTCTGCTACATCTCCAACATCAGTAACCAGTGTTACCTCTGTTACAAGCCCCACATCAGTAACTTCGCCGACAAGCCACACTTCTGCTACATCAGTTACATCTGCCACAAGTCAAACCTCCGTCACAAGTGCTACGTCAGCAACATCAATAACGTCGGTAACTAGTCCAACAGTGACCAGTGCAACGTCTGCTACCTCGCCGACAAGTGCCACGTCTGCAACATCTCCAACATCAGTAACCAGTGCCACCTCTGTTACAAGTCCGACATCAGCGACTTCTGCTATATCCCCAACATCAGTAACCAGTGTCACTTCCGTTACAAGCCCCACATCAGCAACTTCGCGGACAAGTCAGACTTCTCCTACATCAGTTACCTCTGCCACAAGTCAAACCTCCGTGACAAGTGCAACATCTGCAACATCGGCGACGTCGATTACTAGTCCAACATCGGTGACAAGTGCAACGTCTGCTACGTCACCGACAAGTGTCACTTCTGCTACATCACCAACATCAGTAACCAGTGTCACCTCTGTTACAAGTCCGACGTCAGCGACCTCTGCTACATCTCCAACATCAGTAACCAGTGTTACCTCTGTTACAAGCCCCACATCAGTAACTTCGCCGACAAGCCACACTTCTGCTACATCAGTTACATCTGCCACAAGTCAAACCTCCGTCACAAGTGCTACGTCAGCAACATCAATAACGTCGGTAACTAGTCCAACATCAGTGACCAGTGCAACGTCTGCTACCTCGCCGACAAGTGCCACGTCTGCAACATCTCCAACATCAGTAACCAGTGTCACCTCTGTTACTAGCCCCACGTCGGCGACCTCTGCCACATCACAAACATCAGTAACCAGTGTCACCTCCGTTACAAGCCCCACATCAGTAACTTCTCCGACAAGTCAGACTTCTGCAACATCAGATACATCTGCTACAAGTCAAACCTCCGTAACAAGCGCTACGTCAGCAACATCAATAACGTCGTTAACTAGTCCAATATCGGTGACCAGTGTAACTTCTGCAACCTCACCGACAAGTGCCACGTCTGCAACATCTCCAACATCATTAACCAGTGCCACCTCTATTACAAGTCCTATATCAGCGACTTCTGCTACATCCCCAACATCAGTAACCAGTGTCACTTCCCTTACAAGCCCCACATCAGCAACTTCGCGGACAAGTCAGACTTCTGCTACATCAGTTACCTCTGCCACAAGTCAAACCTCCGTGACAAGTGCAACATCTGCAACATCGGCGACGTCGATTACTAGTCCAACATCTGTGACAAGTGCAACGTCTGCTACGTCACCGACAAGTGTCACTTCTGCTACATCACCAACATCAGTAACCAGTGCCACCTCTGTTACAAGTCCGACATCAGCGACTTCTGCTACATCCCCAACATCAGTAACCAGTGTCACTTCCGTTACAAGCCCCACATCAGCAACTTCGCGGACAAGTCAGACTTCTGCTACATCAGTTACCTCTGCCACAAGTCAAACCTCCGTGACAAGTGCAACATCTGCAACATCGGCGACGTCGATTACTAGTCCAACATCTGTGACAAGTGCAACGTCTGCTACGTCACCGACAAGTGTCACTTCTGCTACATCACCAACATCAGTAACCAGTGCCACCTCTGTTACAAGCCCCACATCAGTAACTTCGCCGACAAGCCACACTTCTGCTACATCAGTTACATCTGCCACAAGTCAAACCTCCGTCACAAGTGCTACGTCAGCAACATCAATAACGTCGGTAACTAGTCCAACATCAGTGACCAGTGCAACGTCTGCTACCTCGCCGACAAGTGATACATCTGCTACAAGTCAAACCTCCGTAACAAGCGCTACGTCAGCAACATCAATAACGTCGGTAACTAGTCCAACATCGGTGACCAGTGCAACTTCTCCAACCTCACCGACAAGTGCCACGTCTGCAACATCTCCAACATCATTAACCAGTGCCACCTCTATTACAAGTCCTACATCAGCGACTTCTGCTACATCCCCAACATCAGTAACCAGTATCACTTCCGTTACAAGCCCCACATCAGCAACTTCGCGGACAAGTCAGACTTCTGCTACATCAGTTACCTCTGCCACAAGTCAAACCTCCGTGACAAGTGCAACATCTGCAACATCGGTGACGTCGATTACTAGTCCAACATCGGTGACAAGTGCAACGTCTGCTACGTCACCGACAAGTGTCACTTCTGCTACCTCACCAACATCCGTAACCAGTGCCACCTCTGTTACAAGTCCGACGTCAGCGACTTCTGCTACATCTCCAACATCAGTAACCAGTGTCACCTCTGTTACAAGCCCCACATCAGTAACTTCGCCGACAAGCCACACTTCTGCTACATCAGTTACATCTGCCACAAGTCAAACCTCCGTGACAAGTGCTACGTCAGCAACATCAATAACGTCGGTAACTAGTCCAACATCTGTGACCAGTGCGACTTCTGCTACCTCGCCGACAAGTGCCACGTCTGCAACATCTCCAACACCAGTAACCAGTGTCACCTCTGTTACTAGCCCCACGTCGGCGACCTCTGCCACATCACAAGCATCAGTAACCAGTGTCACCTCCGTTACAAGCCCCACATCAGCAACTTCGCCGACAAGTCAGACTTCTGCTACATCAGATACGTCTGCTACAAGTCAAACCTCCGTAACAAGCGCTACGTCAGCAACATCAATAACGTCGGTAACTAGTCCAACATCGGTGACCAGTGTAACTTCTGCAACCTCACCGACAAGTGCCACGTCTGCAACATCTCCAACATCCTTAACCAGTGCCACCTCTATTACAAGTCCTACATCAGCGACTTCTGCTACATCCCCAACATCAGTAACTAGTGTCACTTCCGTTACAAGCCCCACATCAGCAACTTCGCGGACAAGTCAGACTTCTGCTACATCAGTTACCTCTGCCACAAGTCAAACCTCCGTGACAAGTGCAACATCTGCAACATCGGCGACGTCGATCACTAGTCCAACATCTGTGACAAGTGCAACGTCTGCTACGTCACCGACAAGTGTCACTTCTGCTACATC